ACTGAATATGAATGTTACAAGATCTTGTTATGTACGTTACTCTAAGTTCCTATAACTATTTTTTATCTAATTAATTTCATATTTATAAGTAACCTAATATTTAGATTCCAATAACCTGTTTCTTCTAGCACCAACACAGCATTTAACTGATTGTTTACTATCTGGAGAATTACAACTTTGGAACTGCAATGTCTAAAAACATGCCTCCTTCAGAGAAGAATAAGGAGATTTGGTCTTCAAATCTATGGCAATTTCAAAAGTGCAAAAAGTCAAGAAGGTATACTACCATTGACAGTCTTGATCAGATGCGAAGAATTCCAACGGAGCAGAATATCTTCGACAGATTTAAAACTCTGGCTTCTTATGCAAAATGTAGAAAAGAGCGAATTGTAATGATAGCAGATGAAGTGAAAAGTCTATGGAATAATTTGAATCTGCCAATTCAACAAGGTGGATCTACAGCTGCATGAAAAGTTCAGAATGTAATAAAAACTTATGAAAAGCATGCTCAAAGATCTGGAAACAATGATTTTAGTAAATTGTTTAATGTAACAGACGAGAAAGGAGAATGGTTGGGCAGAGAAGACAGAGAGGGAGTTTTATGAGCTGCAGGTTTCAACAAAAGGGAAAGTAGAATATTGCACCACAAAAGAAGACACACAGGGGATACATCCAAGAAAAGTGAAGATGCTTAAAAGAAGAGTGTCAGTCATACAAGAGTCTATTGAAGAAAGTAGTGAAGAAGATTCGGAAACAGTTACAGAAACAGAAAAATCTATGAGTGAAGAACAAAGTTATAGTAGCAATGAAGATTATGCAAAACCTTCTTCCAGTAAAAGGCAAAGAATTGATTCTGCAGTACGTTTGGTAACTGCAACAAAACTGAGTACAAGGAAGGCCCACAAAGTATGTGAAACTTTGTCCAAAAGCAGAGTTTACATACCTATTCCAACTCAGAGTGGCATCTACAAAGCAGTAATTAAAGGAGAAAAGCTAAAAAGAAATTTTTAAAAAATGAACACTGGTGCTTACACTTTGATGTTAAGAATATACAGAAGGAATATCAGGTAGTTGTTTTGAAAAATGAAACTAGGGAAGTCAGACTTGCTGTCTTTCAATTGACAAATGGAAAAGGTGAGACAGTATTCAATGGAATAAAAACTGTGCTTGACGAATATGAACTATGGCCCTCAATAAAAATAATTGTTTCTGATACAACTGCAGCTAATACTGGAAAAATCTGGGAGCTGCCACACTGTTGCAGAAGCACTTTGAAGATGTTGGATTAGAAAAAGCTGTGTTTATTGGTAGTAAACACCATATTCTGGATACGATATTGAAACACGTCATGAATGATCATTTTGGGGGAACAACGAATTTACCAAACATCTGTTATTCCTTTATTTCACAAATAAAAGGACACTATGAACAATTGAAGAAATCATTTGATAATACAGGAAAAGAACAGGAGAAAGTAGAACAGGATTGCTGGCAAGATGACATGTCCTTTCTTGATCACTTAGTATCATGCTACAGGTATTTCGAAAGTACAGGAAGTTTCCCAAAAGTGCATTTCCGATTACTTCCATCTATCAGTAATGCAAGATGAAACTCAAGAGCCATTTATGTTTTTCTTAGTTTCATCCTGATGCCAGAGTTTAGACAAACAACAAAAGTGGCATGTGATTTCATCTGTGGTTCATGGTCAAAAGGCTGCTTCTCTTCTTAGTTCTTCAATCTTGCTGACTTTGATAATTTGTCAGAAACTTGTAAAGAGTATCCTAAAGCTTTGCGCTCATTGAGGAATTTTTGGTCAGTGGAGCCTACGCCTATAGCAACCCACCGTTCAAATATCTGTGCCGAGCGTGTCATTAAAGTAATGCAAGACCTGCTCCCACTCTACAGATCGACTGAAAAGTTGAATGTTAAACTTCTTTTAAGTAACGAACATTAGGAAAATACTGATACATTTATTTATCGGTGATGTATTGTAAAATGTTATTGTAAAATGATGCAACTTCTATGTGAATATACTTACATGTTATATCTTAGGCACATCATTTTCTCATTTGGATGGTGAACTTTTTTTAAGCAAAAAGAAAAATACTTTTTCGTTATTTGTACGCAAAACCTCCACTAATTATCATATGGGCATATAGGGCTATGAAATTGTCATATCCCTAATATAATCTCTCATTTCCAGTGGCTCTTTGATAAATCACTGGAAGTGATTTATCAAAGAGCTTAAAGCTTTTTTGTAAGGATTCAGTATTTCAGCCAAAATATTAAAGTCATTTTTGTTGTACAGTTAGTCTGTAAACCAATGGTCTGCCCAGCCATATGATATAAATTGACATACTCTCTGTAGAACTGTCCTTGTTGAACGAACTAAAATAAAGGCCAGGGTTGCTAGTATAAATCTGGAGTTCCACGTCGCATTGCTGATGTTAGGTATTTTCTGAAACCTGATCAATCAAAAATATCCCTTTTTCTCGAAAAAAACAGAACACTCGAGTGAGATAAAACAAAAATTTCATATCATCTCTCCAGCTTGATGTTTTAAGAATTACTTCTCCTCCGTTATCAAACTGTGTTTTCAGTTTTTCGTACTCCTTTAACAGTTGAGATACAAATGGATTGTGTTTTAATTCCAAGTTCTTCATCCATCACCAAACGGAGGATTCTATCTAATACATGGTGTTGACAACTGATAAACTGAGGTTTGTTGATGTGTTTCTCTGTGAACATTCATTGCAATATTGCAACAACACCATTCTTTTTTCCAGTGTTAACTAACGCTGGTGGTATCTGCAATAACTATCTGTATTGAATTCCATAGGTAAAATTCATTGAGGACTTTAGAAATTCCTTGAGCAATAGTTAAAGCCCTGCCATCTACCAAACCAAGGACATCCAATTTGATTTCTCTTCTTTTATTTTTAAGGACAACCACTTGATAATCCATTCTGTTGATATGCTGGCCATCAAAGTGTAAGTATCAACTTTCCATATGCAACTTTCCAATCACTTCTTCCTTTAGCTTGATTGCCTCTTTGAATGTTGATTTGTAAATAGCTGATTGACATAGAGTTAGCATGTCAATGTCTTCATGAGCCAATTGCTTGCATGTTAGCAGCATTGTTTGTTGATACTCTTGTGGAGGTCATCAGTTAACTGCAATTTTACTTTTATGATGTTTTTGCTTGGTGTAGGAGTTGTCTCATTGTTTTCAAATTCACTGTCATCAGCCTCAGAGTCAGAATCACTAAAACCAGGATAGTAAGATGAAGAGTTGGATGACTCATTAGAAAGTTTTTCTTTTAGAGGGATGGATTGTTTCTTTACTGACCTCTTGGCCTGTAGAGTATCCCACTGTTCCTTTGCTTTCCACTTGGGATAGTTCATCCACTTTAGTAATATCAAAATTTCATCAAGGGTTCATAGCTTCCCCGCTTGACACATTCAACATAACATTTCAGTATTTTATCAAGCTTTGCTCGTATAACTTGATCAGATACATGAGGAAAATTCAGTTTATTCTTCCATAGTTAGGTGACTTCTTTGAAAATTTTTGCTATTCACTCCTTTCTTCCTTTGATTTTTGGTCCAAGGAAATGGTAGCATCTGATAGTTTGCTTTTGGAGAGACATTCTGCACTTTTCTTCCAGTGAATTTTCTTCTAAAGGGACCATTCTTCTTTTATGAGTCTTCAAATTTTGGTCCAGACATCCTTGTTCTTCTGAATGCTATTATCACGGCCTGTACCACGCCATATGTTGCTTCTGTAATAACTATAAAATTAGATGAGCAACTATATAGTCTATGTTGTGAATGTTCTAGAATATTCTTGAATGTTCTATATTGTTCTAGAATGTTCCAAAATATTTTAAACTGTTCTAGAATGTTCTAAATTGTTCCAAAATGTTTTAAATTGTTCTAGAATGTTCTAGAAGTCTTCTAAAATATTCTGCTATTTTCGAAAATGTTCTAAAGTTCTAAACACCTAATCTATACAAGTTTTAAATTTTTTGCAGAAAAGCCACACGTATTAGTAGTAGCAGTAACAAGATTAAATAAATGATGAAATGTAATTTGAATTGCGGGGTGATCTTTTTTTACAACCAAGAGGAATTGATTATGTTTTAAATGTTTTCTAATAAAAGTTCATTATAACACAGGAAACTTTTTTTTTTTTTAAAGTCAAAAAGTCATAACCTTAATATATATATATATATATATATATATATATATATATATATATATATATATATATATATATATATATATATATATATATATATATTTCTGAAATTAATCTTATTTCATTTTTATACATATAATAAAAAAATCTAAACTTTAAAACAAACTTTATAACTGTGATATATAAACACTTAAATAAACCACTACCTCATTATTTCAAAGCTTCCAATGTTTATGATTATAGAAATCATAACATTATGATTATAAAAATCATAAACATTGAACCTTATTAACAATTTTGAACTTATTAACTTTAATTTTAAATTTGAAAATTAAAGTTAATAAGTTTAAATAGAACGCTGCAACTTTTCAAATATATTTTTATAAAAGACAATTTTCAAACATTATTATGACATAGATATATACAAATACAGTACAAAACAGTACAATACAGTACAAAGGGACACAACATAAATACAGCGTATTTAAAAACATTACAAACACACAAAATATGAACGAATAATTTACTAAAACATGTGATTTCTTCAAAACGATCTAAAAAAAGTTAGTACTGCTTTTTTTTTTTTTTTTTCCTTTTCTTTTTTTTTTTATTTAACGTTTGAACATTAAGTATTTTTTTAATATCGCTCAAACTTAAGTTGACAAAATATTTAAAAAGTATATTTGACGAACTCTAACCAAAGCTATAATTTCCTTATAAATCACTAATTTTAGTATAACCTTTATCACAAGTTTCAAGCAACTTTTGCAGAAAAAACCGAAAAAACAATTAAACTTACATTTGCAATTTTAAGAGGTAAACGAAACTCTTTGCCACCTTGTAATCGAAATCCCCATGGGGAGCCTCCTTGCAAATACACTTCAAACTCCACCATTTTTGTTGTCGCCAATTTATTATTATTTTTGTTTAAATTTGAGGAGATTAATTACGATTTACAGCAAAATATTTTTTTTTTCTTTATCTCAGTTAAAAATGCGTCAGAAACTATTGAGGAACCTATATGCGTTCAATTAAACGCTTATAGGAAGCAACTTTAAATAGCTTGCTATTATAAGTAATAAGTTAACACATTCTATCTGATAAGATTTAGTTCATCAAAAATCACAGTTATAAGTTAACTGAAATAAATCTTCGAATGAAAATGACATCGAACTTTATGCGTTAAACAAACAGATTCGTCTAGTAGATTAACAAAAAATATCGTCAAAAAAACGCCGATTAATAATTTGAATTAAAAAAATTAACCAAGTGATGTTAATAGCACTATAAGTCAATGAAAAGTATTTTGCATTTTATTTAACAATCAATATTTATACTGTTGTTTAGAGAGTTCATCTTATTCTTAAAAAGCCACTCGAGAAAAATAAACTTAGAAAGTCATAAAATAAACTTTTTTATTTTAAGAATAAAAAAAGTTTTAGTAATTCTATAATTTCGAGATATATATTTTTTTCTGATAACCAATCAATTATTTACATAAATATTAAACTAATATAATTAATGTAAGTATTACATTAATAAACACATTTGCTAACACCGTTATTTTTATTCCGAAATTAATTTGTAAATGTCTCTAACATAGATTGTCTCTAACTTAAACAGCCGAATGTTTAAAACTGACTTGACTTTTATAAATAATTCGGGGGATTTGAACATTTGAATTAAAGAAAATTACAGCATTTTTTTCTTTTGTCAAGATTACCCTAATCCGCGACCTTAACATTGACTCTTAAAGATTCGAGTTATTGGAATGTTTCAACAATAAAATAAAGTATTTTTACACATCCTAATTTTTTTACTAAAACAAATCATATATATATATATATATATATATATATATATATATATATATATATATATATATACATATATATATATATATATATATATATATATATATATATGTATTTAAAAAAACTGTTGTTTTAACACCTTGTAGTAATTTAACATGTAAATTCAGTTAAAAAAAAGGTTATCAAAGATCATTTGTTTTTTAAAAACTTGGAGCGTGGCCAACATTTATATTAATACTCAATAAGTTATAAACATATAAATGTTAATTTTTTTTTTTTTACACATCTTTGTTACAAAAAATGGTAATATGCAATTTTGTTTGTCAACATTACAAGTCGTCTGCATATAAAAGCAAGTTTTTGGGTGGATTTCTCTCGCTACCCTCTCACATCATAAAAGCTTCATACGCTACTGCGACATTAATAGAAACTATTTTACTAGTTTTTTATGCAAAAAATCTGTTTTTATAACAAACAACTTCTCTTTTTCCAAAAAATAAGTTTATTCAAACAGCGGTTAGCGGAATGACGTAACCCACGAATCTGACTATAAAACAACTACTGAAGTACCATAGTTACGGAAGTAATATTGTAACTTTTTTTAAAAACAATGTTAATGACCTATTTTACGAAAACCATCTTTCCTTTCATGTTTTCATATAACATTCTTTTTACTTTGATTTGATCTTTACCTGCAGATTATAGTTTTGTATTGAAATATAATCGTCTGCTGTAGTATGTATGTATGTATGTATGTATGTATGTATGTATGTATGTATATGTATCCCGGTGGTAAATCGGCTTGCGATTCGGTAGCACTATTTGTATCAATAAAGACAGCGATTTGTCTAAGAGTTACACAAGCTAGCAACTGGCTAGTGACAAACAAACAAACAAAAAAGAAACTTTGCATTTTGTTTTTTCATATATATATATATATATATATATATATATATATATATATATATATATATATATATATATATATATATATATATATATATATATATATATATATATATATATATATATATATATATATATATATATATATATATATATATATATATATATATATATATATATATATATATATATATATATATATATATATATATATATATATATACATATATATATATATATATATATATATATATATATTATATATATATATATATATATATATATATATATATATATATATATATACATATATATATATATATATATATATATATATATATATATATATATATATATATATATATATATATATATATATATGTATATATATATATATATATATATATATATATATATATATATATATATATATATATATATATATATATATATATATATATATATATATATATATATATATAAGATACACTAAATTATTGTTATTATAATCACATATTATTATTATATATTTTTATTATCATTGCCAAAAGCTTTGTAAACCTATTTTACACAACACGAGGTTTTGTAAATCGATGCCAGATTTCTATTTATATTACGCATACTTTTATCATTTTTTGTTTGTAGTTATATTTTTTTTAATTTTTATTGTTGTGGTAGTTTTATCTAAAACGACCATGTTGATAGTTAGCTACGATATGTAGCTATCTTATAGATACAGGCTTATCGTTATGATATAGTTTGCTACTATAATATAATAGTAATATTGCTAGCTAAAAAACTTATGTTGTAGCTTGGAAATGAAACGAATTTGTACTCTTTTTTCAGGTCCTTGATTTGAAAATGATTTCATTATTTGATCCCAAAGAGCTCGAACTTGTAATAGTAGGTACAGTTGACATAGATATAGAGGATTGAAGAAAAAGTACCGAATATCCGTTAGGAAATGAGCTAGCTTGTCGCTAGTTCATTTCCCAACGGTATGTATGTATGTATGTATTTATGCATGTATGTATGTATGTATGTATGTATGTATGTATGTATGTATGTATGTATGTATGTATACAGATGAGCATTTAACTAGGAAAGTTCACACCTCCTTCCTTACCGATAACGCGAAATATACCGTGAGGCTGTTTCGAATCCTGGATCTCTTGCTTCTAAAACAAACTGCGCCACGGCCGCTTGTATTAAAAGTACCTTGCGTACCTTTTTGAATCATACTGATTGATCAAATCAATCAATATGATTCAAAAAGGTACGCAAAGCAAACAAACAATTTTTTTTTAGCTACATATTATCGAAGAAATAAAAAAATCTATACCCATATACACATCAAGTTTTTAAATTTTTTTTTTTTAATTTTTTTTTTTAATTTTAAGTTTTTTTTATTATTATTAAATTTTGATTCTTTTTAAAAAATAAAAAGTTTTTTCCGCAACAAAATGCCGTTCTTATTTATCTTACACCATTTAAAAAACTTTTGTAAAACTACATTACATTATAAACTTCTAAAACTTAACAGACGTTAAGAAGGTTTTATAGCCGTGTTAATTAAAAAAAGTAAATAGTTTTAAGACGTTGTTTAAAAAATACGTTGTATTAAAAAAAATAATTGTGCGAATAATCAGAATTGCACAATAAAAAAATTCGGAAAAAAAACTCTGCTATATTGCAGCATATTTTATAGAGCGTCTTGTTTGCATAAATATGGCTCAAAAGACTAGGATCCTGAAAGAAGGCTCCTTTCGAAAAAAGGTTTTTTCAGATCTTAGAGACACATTGTCCATTGAGAACGCAAAATAATTTTTTAGATTTTTATTAAACTATGTAAAGTAGAAGTTTATAAAACGAACTGATAAAATTTAATGCGGGCAAATAAAATTTATTACGAATCGTTACGTTTAAACGAGTAATGACTTTTTCCATAAATTTGTTGAAATTTAAGAGAAAATAAAACTTATTACGGAAATACAAAACTCATTCTGGCAAACAATGCTCATTATAGGTAATTAAAACAATAAAGTACACTCGATAAAGAAAAGAAATGCAACCCTATCTGACGTATATAATTCATTTTAAATCATACAGGAAAATTGTTGCTTTTTTAAAAGACCATTTTACATGTTTATGCATTCATTTTCTCTAAATCTTCCCAGATGAAATTTACATCGTTATCAAAAGTAGTAATTTTACTGTTATTATTGACTATATGATAAAAAAGCAATGTTCTTTTCTACCTTTAACTACTTTGATATCTAGTACTCATTATTTTTATATTTCTTGTTTCCACATAGCTATTCTGTTTGGGTTTATTCAGCATACTTAACAATTAAAAACTTAACTATGCCCCAAACTACTCTACCCTAGCTGTGATGAGCATGTATAAATTAAGTAAGTATTCAAACTAGTTTTACTCCTTCTATAAAGGATACAATTGTATATAGGATATTGTATTTACTATATATTATGATAACTTGATGTGTTTTTTTGTATATAAAATGAAAAGCAAAAAAAAAAAAAAAAGTTAAATAAAATTACTAATAGAAAGTGTATTAATGTGAATAGAAAGTAGGTAAAAATACACATTTATATTTCCTAACCTGTGTTTTTTCTTGTTCATTTTTATAGGAACCCAATCGAATAGATCTCAACATTTAAAAATTTTATTCCAACGTTTAATTACGGTTTATCGTTTATTTGTTTGCTTTGCTGAACGAATTTTAACGAAAATAATTCAAATAAAGCTTCTCATTGTTTATATTTATTTTTTAACTATGAAATAAGCAAAAATCAATCAAGCACATGGAAAAAAACAACAAGTATTGATAATTACGTGTAATTTTATGCATGCATCTATGTATAAATAAATAACAATTTAGACATGTATATAAATAAGTTTGGCATTAAATTAAAACTTTTAAGTGCAAATTTGCCTCGATAGCTCTTAAATGGCAGCAAAAAAAGTCAACCATTATTTATACTTTTATAAAAACTTTATTTAGGTAAAAAGCTGCAGTTTAATTGTAACAAAAAAAACAAATTTATAAACATAGCTTCGTAATTGATGTAATTATCACGTCGTTATTCCATTGGGTTAAAATAATAATAACATAACAATAAGATGTTTTCTTTTATCGCGTTTCTAGTCTGTTAAAAATTTTGCATATAAATATTCTTCTTTTTTGAATTCTCTGTTAAGATTCATTAACTTCAATAAATCTTGAAACAAGGAAAATCATCGCAGTTAAAAAATCGTCATTATTCAAAAAACTTAATAAAATCTTCAAAAACTACTTTTAAGATATACATCCGTTTAGACGTGTAAAATATAACAGCTCGAGTGCAAATACAAACAAATTAAATTGAGTTAAGTCAGTTTA